AAGCGGCGAAAAAGGAGAGAGTAGACATCCTCCACAATCGATGCGGGGATCTGTACTTCAGACGCTCATACTCAGCTCTCATGGCCTTAAGCTCCTGCGCCTGGCTGTGGCTGTCGCAAAGATGGCTCCAAAGCGCGTCGCGTGCAAACTCGTAGGGCAGCTGCGGGAAGCCCGCACACGTGAGGTTGTTTTTCACGATCACGTCCTCACTCAGCGTCCGGTAGAGCTCTTCCGACACGCACCAAAGCGGCTTGGTGTAAACCTCGTGAAAGGCACGGAAGTCTCGATACTCTGAGCTGGCCCGCCACTCAAGCAGCAAAGCATCTGTGAGTTCACAGTCGTCCAATATTCGCCCGTCGTCATTGAAGACAAAGGTACAGAGCCACTCATCCATCTCCTCCTCCTCGTTCTTATGGTCGAGATCTACAAAGTTGGCCATGGCTGGCTGGCCAAGCTTGATGAAGTTCTTTGCGCGCTCGCTGCGCTCCACAACCTCCTCCTGACCGTTGCGTACACGAATTCCCTGCATCAATCGATACTCGAACCACACCCCGTTGCTGTACTCCCCATCACTGAACTTTGCGTGGCCCCTCCCGGTGAAGTTGTGCCGTGATCCGTTCCATACCCACTGCCCGTCATAGCACTCCACGCGGGTTGGGCTGCCGGCATTGTCAGTGTACAGCTGCACGCACGCTCCCCTTCCACTCTCGCCATACGGTCGTCCTATGAACACAAAGTCGATTTTAGAAGTCCGAAGCAGATCGTCCCTATCCACGCCTGCTTCAAGGAGCTTTGCAACGCGCTGGCTTGACTGCAAATTGTCGTCTAATATGCGGTCTCCGAGCGTCAGCCGTGGATTGTCGATCGCAACGTAGTCAACGGTCGCCGACGATGGCGGCCGTCGCCCAAGCAGCCCCTCCCACACGCTCCACAGGCGCTCCTTCACGCCACTCGCCGACTCGTCCACCACCATCCGGGTGAGATTGGCCAGCAGGAAGAAGAGTTTGAATGTCGGCGTTGTCAAAGACTCCATGCGCACTGCGCTCTGCTGCTGCTGTCTCTGCTGCTCCCGCCGCACATTGTCGTCGGCCGGCCGCTGGCGTGCACTGCGGTCTCGCTCCCCTCGAGTCTGCTCGTGGAGCTTCTTCTGTGCTCTCTGGCGCTCCGCCATCTGCTGCACGCGTGCATCGCGCTCCTGCTCCCAACGGCTGTGGTCGGCGTTGAACGCGGCCGCATCTGCGTACGGCTTGCCCGGCCCGATCTCCTCCTCGTGTGGTTCGGCCCGCAGCTTCTTCGGCAGAGGCGGCACGTGGACGGTCGAGGCGCCGGCCCCGGCCATGCGGCGGCTCGATCCACCTTGCGATCGACTTTGGCAAAGCGATTGCAGCACGGCCAAGAAGAAAACTCAAAGCGAAAATCCGTCTCACTAACTCATCTGCAGAACCTCGGCGCACGAGCAGCATGTTCCACACTTGCAGCGTCACACCCAAGACACCAAGAGACAACAAACAATCTCTCTCTCCCAAGAGGGAGGATCTACGCCACAAACACACATACTCGACACACAGACCCTCTCTCTGACTGTCGACGGGCGCCAACCCGACACCACTACCCGGCGCCAGCCGCCGGCAGTGATAGTCGCCACTCACGCGACGCAGCTTTCCTCGCGGCACGTGATGCAGTGGTGTGGCGCTGTCGGTGACGCACGTGACTGGTGCGCTTGGCGCCTGGACGCAGCGCGACGGCCGTGTGCGCTGACGAGCGCCAGCGGCGCATTGCCAGCACGATCACGACGCACCGTGGAGTGAGCTTGGGCCGGGCCGAGAGCGGGGAGTGTGTGGGAGTGAGGCGTGTGGGCCCACCGAGAGGCGCCGCACCGCGGGCTTCAAAGGGACATGCGCCAGCGAGGGAACTGGAGCAAGGGAACTGGAGCGCACCGCTCGCCACAAAGCGCAGCCCGGCGCGCCGACACAGCGAGAAGGCGCGCGCCGCCGACCAGCGGCGCCTCGCAACAGTACATTCCGCCCACGGGCAGCAGAACGCTGGGTAGTCCTGAATCAGAGTCTGATTGCATCTCCGACGCGTGGCTCAGACGCGTGCGCGACGCCGCTGGGTCCGTCCGTGCGCCTGGGAGTGTGTGGACCGGCAGGTAAGGCTGTGGCGGCTGGCTCACCGGCGACTCGCTCGACGCTCGCAGCACCCGGCGCCGAGGAAGCGGCGCAGCCGGTTCGCATCGCAAGCCACCGCTCAGGCCTGCTGGCAGGCTGCTGCGGACCCTGCGGCATCCGCCGGCCAAGCGTGGAGCCGCCAGGGGGCCCAGGGGCCGACCAAAACGATCGTGCCTGGGCAAATTTTCGGGGCGGACAGAAATCGCGGGAGATGGCTCTGCTTCTTTCAATGATAGGGATAAATAAATAAAACGGACACCTCTACTAGGAGATGGGTAAAAAGGAACAGGTCCCCGCCCTGCGGTCTTTGTGCAGGGTTCCTTTCACGTAAACGCACAACCCCGGGCCCGAAATCTTTCACAGCTGGCGAGTGGGGGCAAGAAAGAATTTCTCGGAGGAAAATGACCGTGTTATTCTCCGCTGCCCGCCTTGCTTCCTACCCGTCCAAATCGCTGTCCTCTCCGTCGCTGTTGTCCTCTCCGTCAGTGGAAGCAGGCGTGGGCGGCCGGCTCGCCCACGCCTCGATTTTCTTGGGCAGCAGCTGGTCTGACAGGTCCTCTCCGTGGCCTAGGCAGCCGTCCTCGTCCTTGCCCCACGTGAAGACAGCGCCATCGGCGGTGCAGGCGGTGTTGTGCATGTCTCCAGCCGACATAGCGACGATGCGCTGGCCAGCCAAGGCCTCGATCTTCTTCGGCAGCGGCTTGTCCTGCTCGTCGCCGTGGCCCAACCGGCCCCAGAGTCCACTGCCCCAACTCCAAACGGCGCCGTCGGCGGCGAGGGCGAAGCTGTAGCTATATCCAGCCGACACAGCGACGACGCGCTGCCCAGCAAAGGCCTCGATCTTCTTGGGCAGCAGCTGGCGCTGCTGGTCGCCGTGGCCCAGACGGCCAGTGCCTCCACCACCCCAGCTCCAGACGGCGCCGTCGGCCGTGATGGCGAGGCTATGGAAAAATCGAGCCGACACAGCGACGACGCGCCGGCCAGCCAAGGCCTCGACTTTCTTCGGCAGCAGCTGGTTCTGCTCATCGCCGTGGCCCAACCTGCCGAAAGCTCCACCGCCCCAGCTCCAGACGGCGCCCTCCGGCGTGAGGGCGAGGCCGTGCTCCCATCCAGCCGACACAGCGACGATGCGTTGGCAAGCAAAGGCCTCGACCTTCTTGGGCA